TACTACTACTACTACTACTACTATATATATATATATATATATATATATATATATATATATATATATATATATTTCGGAACCCTTCTGAGCGGACTTTCTAGATTTCTCCAATCGCCACAATACCTACCCTTTTATGACATCATGCATTCCTCCACGACAATTCTACCTTCCTTCTATAACTGCATAACAATTGCAGGATGCATGCCTTGATCACACAGAAATAATGTTCTAAAAACTATCTTCTTTTTATAAACCATCTATAACTGACTCTCAAATATCTTGTATAAAGTTCCTAATTTCTAGCTTCGGTTGAATGTTCACTCATTGACTCGATAATACCTTACCTCTTTCTTGTACTATATAATGCTACTTTTTTGGAATATAATTTCCCATTAACCGACATCTTATTCAAGCAAAATGTTTCATATTTCTAGAAAGACGACCAATAAAAGCTATCATTTAGCTCCTTACCAATTCATTCTTCGACTCATTTATCAAACTCAAAAGAGAGATTCCAAAACCTATGCTAATTAATCACTCCTTTGAAAAATATGGTATCATTTCACAAATATACACCTCGTAGTATGCACCTATCAGCTATATTTGTATACAAAGATACATAAATGGCAATTCGTACCAAGAAATATACCAAACAATAAATTGTAATCGTAAATTTCTTTATTTCATAAATTAATAAATTGTCCAAATTTAAGAATGATTGACAACATAGGAAAATATATGTACCTGTAATGTGAAAAAAAATTGAAAATTTCTTTTCAGGAAGTGAAATTTACAGCGAAAACACATACAAGAAACACTGCAACACACGTAATTCTTTCTGTAAAAACGATGAAAAGACATTGTGATGAAAGAAAGGTGTAAAAAAACTGAGTACATTAGAGAACAGAAAACTGATTGCATATTTTGCACGTGATATTTAACATACATTTGCTAATCCAAGTTAACTTCGTATTACAGAACCAATATGTGCGATTAACAGACACCCAAATCGATACAGGCAGTTGTAAACATTTAATATTATGATATCAGAGATATGTTTTAACCTTAACAAATACTTCAAACGATCACATTTTTTCAAATGCAATAAAATGAAGAAAATTGTAATAAAAATAACGAAATGCAGATTACTTGAAAACGAATGCTTAGAAATGAAGTGTCTCGTATCGTTCGTTTTCCTACCCTAATATCTCGAAGAAAACTAGGAATTATTAGGCTAATCTAGAATGAATACCAAGTAAGAACATCTTACAACTTCTCATAATTATTTGAAAGTGAAGATAATAAAATACAATGAGACATTGTCTAAAAAATCTTTTGGTCTTACTTTGGGTTAACAACTCTGTTGCATTATATTTGGTGAATCTGGTAATTCATTATAAGGAAAAATGCAACTGATGGTGATAGGTTTCCGTTCCTATTCGTCTTCCTTATTGCGCTTAGTTTGTTCCCTGCACACCTCTCTTAGAAAAATACGTCACTGATGGATGAGATGCTAGGTTAATCAAAGCCATTGCAATGAAGATCCAAAACTACACTCAAACTCCTGGCAGGCCTGGAAACGATATTCTACAGAAATTAATAAAATTCAAAGGATTAATATAGCACAACGGAATGAACATAAAGCACACGTTTTTTCATCTTCAAATTTCCAAAAATTGAGGAATAACTACAAGTAATTTGATAAGGAAAAATATTTATGTAATGAGTACAATGATAAATCGCCAAAATAGCAATGAATAACGACAAATGGTTACTGATTTCAGAATGAGCTTTAGAATTGGAAAATGAAACGGACAAGGTGAAATGTTAATTATTCCTAGAGATAAAAAAGTAATGATTTAATTGCCCACCTAAATACCCAGAAAATATCAAGGAATAACAACAAGCCGCTATATGTTGCAGAACGACCTTAAGAATCGAAAAATGAAACGGGCGGATGTAAACAAAATGTCAAATATTCCTAAAAGAAAATAATTACCTAATCAGGACACATTCGCCTAAACATCTAACAAATAATTATTTTCGTAGTGCTGAATTCAATGTTAAATTGCATTCATCTAAGAAAAACAGCTAACCAGTATAAGCATAAGATACATATAAAAGTAATTGGGTAAGGAGTACCAAGTAATGTGGAAGACTAATTAGATGTAAATTAGTGACCCATGTAGTCTACAACAAGAACTATTGATTTAAAACAGCATGATATATGAATTATACTACGGGCTTCCCAAAAATCAAGTAAAGTTCCCAGTGTCAGATTTCAGTTTTAAATTAATCTATATCTATCTATCCATCTATCTATCTATCTATCTATCTAATCTATCTATCTATCTATCTATCTATCTATCTATCTATCTATCTATAAAGGATTAAAGAAAATTCCCAATCTCTTCCATCCCACGACTGTTTCACGATTAACAGAAAAAAATTATATTGTAAGAAATCCCGTATTTTTACTCTAAATTGTTTAAAATAACTAAAAGCTTTCTAAATTTTCATATACAGAAAAGCAACACTGACTCATATTTGACATCAACTTGATCTCTACAACTTTCCTAGACACACTATAGCTACTATTTGGGAAAGACTACAAAAGTAATCTAAAGAGTTATTTCAAAGGAATGATTCATCAATTTGTTTGAAAGCAAACTGTATATCATGCGTTGTCATTCCAAGACGGAAACGTCGGGACATACTACCGGTTCCAGATGCTGCTACCAATAATCGTTCACTGCAACAAGAAAATTCTTACAAGAAAAAAAATCAATACCTCCATGCAGATTCCAACAAATTTACATTACACAGATGGATGAAAGAGACAAGAAGAGAAAAGACTGAACAGTATTTTTTTAATTAGTTAACTAACCTGCACATTTCCATGGCATTTCGATATGCAGCACTTGTCGACACAGGGGTAATGTTTGCAACATTGCACTGCAAGCGATACTGTTTCAAAAGAATGTGAAACTGGAATTCATCCAAGCCTAAATTGCAAAATTATTACATAAACATGATTATATTTGCCCAAACTCAATTGAATAATTTTTCGTCAGTTTACATTGTGCTAGTTTAACACTTTATTATTTGTCTTAGTCTAAAACAATTGCAATATGCAACCTCACGTTGCTAATAATTTAGTGGATTTCGTAGAACAATTCGTAGATCAATAACAAACCTGAACTCAATTGTTCAGCAACAGCAGCACGAAGAAGTAGGATAGAATGACGCGGTAAAGCTCGTATCAACTCAATTCGAACACTTGTAGATGCTTGACGAATAGCCTCTTGTACCTAAACAAAAATATTCTAGTTATTAATAAAAAGAAAAATTCTCTCTGGTAACAAAGAGCCTAATGCAATGGTCATACAAGAAAATATTTACGTTTTTCATTGTAAGCTGTTTCTGGTTAGCATTGATTGCAAGCTCTGTAGCGCTTCGTAGGATATCTAGAGCCTTTCGCAAATCACCCGATATAGCTGCCACCTGAAGAATACAACTTGAAAGAATCTGTTACAGAAACTAAGACATGAGCACCAGCTATTCATCCACAAATAATCTGATATAGACTACTACTCGATACCACTTTTATACAATCGAATTGAAAATAACCTTCATAAGCAGTAAGAAATTAATAAACTGCAAAGTAGCAACTCGAGAACTTATTTACTCTCATCTGCTTATCTAATCTACTTATTTTAGCTGCCTTGATTGCCTGCCGAATTAATAAAACTACTTATCTAATTAACAGAAATTATCTCATTCATTTTATTGAAGTATTAATTTACTTTTCGGCTTGCTAATTCAACAGCTTCCGCTTCAACAGCACTTGAATCGCATAGACGATCTCGGATGATGTATGCGACTTCGTTATGATCATATGGTTGGAAACAGAGCCTATTGGTACCCTAGAAAAAGATAATTCCATGTACAAAGTAATAAACTTTTCAAGCTATGATCAACCTATGTACTTCGTTTTTCTTACAATGAACAATGACTAATGATGAAACTTAAAAGAAAAAAATTACCAATCGGCTTGAAACACGTTGTGAAAAAAGCCTTTCCGGAAGGTCGAAAGTATTCGCAATGGCTATGACATTTACAAGCGATTCTTCGTTTGCAGACCAATTCAATATATCGTAAATTATTTCCTGCTTTTTAGTGTTTAATAGGTCCAGCTAAAAAAGACATGTATGCTCTGTTGCCATAATATTCATGAACTTCCTCCCAATTCCAGTGTAAAGACGTGAAATGAAATAAAATAAAAATCAACAGTTTAAAGTAACGCAAAGTCACATGATACGGAATAAACTACAGATGACAGAAAGTCAGTTAAGGAGAACTGATGTAATACTTGCTTTCCGATGAACTGAAAAGCCTTGCAAACTATAACAATTCTCCCTTTTCTTCCAAATTCCTGTCAATCGTCTTCTGTCTCAAAGCAAGCCTTCCGCTAATTTTTCAAATGTTTGGTGAGTAATCTTTTCTAATTCCGAATCAAACAGCCCGAAGTTAAGGGGAGCAGAAATATGGTAGGCTTCAAGCAAAAATGCGTTAATTCAGATGTAAAAAGTACGGAATATTAAAAACAAGAAAACAAAAATCATTCACCTCATCAACTAAAACAATGATTGGCAATCGTTTCCTGTCACGATATTGAAAGATTTTGTTCAGTTTCTTCCGTGCTGTTCTAAAATCGTTTCAAAAACCACTACTTTTTTTATGACGAAAATTTATTGATGTAATTTCTCCATCATAGAACATGAATTTAATAACGGAAAATGCTTGAGACTAGAAAAGATAGCAGTAGGGTTAACATATTTCAGAAAGATTCAGGTAAATGAAAAAAAATAATACTAAAAAACCAAAGTAAGATGGTCAAATGCATTGATAATCAAATTAGCAGATCATACAGAATGCCTCAAGTGATCGGCAACAATTGCCTGAAAAGGTACTATGCCGAATGACTAACAACGCCGATCACCTTAGCCATTAAATCTTGCGCATACTGCAATGAGTTTAATGAGCTTTAGTTTGAATGAATACTTTAACTTACTTTGGTGCGATTTTTTTCTCCACATTGAATAAATCTTGATAAATTTTGACAAATATTTGTTTTGGATCTGAGAGTTCCATAGCATTAACCGCAACAAAATCAAATGTAGAAAATTTTTTAGAAGCTTTCAAATGGCGTACAGCCTGAAAATATGTGACATTAGATTCTGATGGCAAAATTTGAGGAATATTGTATTCTAGCTTCGTATTTTAAGTATACGATGGTCTGCATAAATAATCAGCGTGAAAAATAATCTCTAAATTATCATCAAGTATCGGGAATAAATCGAAGATCCCCATCAACATTATCCTGTATAGAGGTGATTGTGAAGCGAAATCACCAGCGTTCCGAGTTTTGATCCGGGTTTTGGAAATCAGTTTTCAATGATGATTCTCTAATTCCTTCCCCGTTAATTAGACAGTGGATTGCCTTTGTCATTGTTATTACCAAACTAGAAAAAGAAAAACTCACTTGCAGTACGGTTGCAGTTTTGCCAGTACCTGGTACACCACTTACATACATTGCTTGCGAAATCGCATTATCTGCAATGCATTCTTTTATAAATGCGCATATTCGTTCGAATTCCGTCTCCCTACATGGCAACCGTTCCGGAATCTCAGAAGTATGTAAACGACGATAAACTGCTTCCAGAGTTTCGACTCTCTAAAATTCTGATTTCATCAGATCAGAAATTTACCTTTGAACATAACTCTTTAGTGTGCTACAAAGATGGACAGTTAACTCAGTAAGTACAGATTGAAAATTAAATCTCCCATATTTCAGACTCAGCAATCCAAATTACATTTATCAGTTGAAAAAAATGAGTACCTGAGTTGAAAAAGTAACCATTGGGCAAACGTTCGAAATGACACCGCGTGCAGTACCTTTATCGTCCGACCTTTTTTCTGAAGTACAAAAGAAAAAAAGTAGCATTTTAAACAGGTCCACGGACAATAACTTGATAGATAAGTTAAAATCAGATTTCGATGATAACAATGTCGTCATGACGAGAATTAAACACTATTAATGTCATAGAATAATATCGCATACAGTTCTAATATGATGCTCGCAATAATGTATTGATGCGCGAAGACTAAAACCTCAAGTTAAATTGCTTTTCACATCAAATGATGATAAACATCGCTATGAACAGGTTCTAGAATGGGTGATAAGCGTAATAATTTAAATTTACCTGCAATTAGCCTTCTGCTTTCACAAACTGAGTTATTTTGGTGTCTGAAAATTTAAGAATTTTCAAGCAGTTATACAACAACGGAATACCACTTCCTGAAATTTTTGGAATGCAACATACCTTTGTATTTTTCGATTCACAGAACGAAAGTTTGAATTAGTTTCGGAATCAGAATCCGGTCCACTGAAACTTTCTAATATTTCGGGACACTCAAAATCTTTATCATCATCATTATCTTCAGATCCGCACCCTGATGAATCATGCTGGAACAACCAAATTTCAATTCCTCAAAAACAGGCAGAAAATAATAAGTCAAGGATCCTTTACAGTTGTAACATCATCCATACCGTTTTACAACTCAATTTTTAACAACTGAATTACCTCATTATCGATGAATCTGGCTCCAGCAAGAACTTTCGTTCGCTTCAGTATAATCAACGGTTTCTTACAATCATTGAAATGCAAGCCATCAATCCGTTTGATAGGCCTGTCCACGCCTTCATTAACACTTCCAGATTTAATTTTCCCAGCTCCATCAGCGGTGAAGTCGATTCCGGTATGTGCTACAGTATTTTTCAGCCTAATTGGCTTATGCAGTGAAAAACCATTTCTGTGTCCAATATTATCCGATGTACCAATCTTCTGCTTCCAAATTGATGATCTCCTAGATTTCCAAGCTTCCGAGGCAACCCTTAATCACGTTCTTGCAGTCTTAAATACACCAAAGTAATCAAATATAAGTATCATATATTTATTCAATAAAAGAGAGCATATAAGAGTAGGGTGTCTTTTGAGTGTAAAATCCTTCCCGAAAAAATCTAAAATTTTCAGAATTCTTTAAAAACTCAGATTTGAATTTCAAATTTGCAACTTACGAAACTCTTTTTTTACAAATGTTTAGTGTTTCTGTGGCCGTCGATGGAAGCGGAAGTGATATTAGTGAATGACATAATACTTCTGATTTCACATTTTCGGAATCACTTTTGCTATCCTCATATTCACTTTCAAATCCAAACTGAAGTTTAAAATATGCTGGAAACGCTTAAACTATAAATTTAGAATAACTGGAATCAACTAGATAAATTAAATTCACTACCTTCGATTTTTTTCGGAACTATTAGTAACTTAAATAAGTCATGAAAAAAAATCTACGAGAGGTCGAGATTCAATTTTCCATAGAAGAGACGATTATAGGAAAAAAATAAGCTGATGTAGGAAAATTTGCTCACCACATTTAAGTTCTCGCCGTAGTTAAAAGCTGGAATCAACTTAGCCTGCTGCAGGGCCATCGATGATCGACTACGCTTGTTCGGTGGTGAAGTCAAGACAAACAGGTCCTCAGAATATCCCCGTCCCATTGATTTCGTTTTCCGTTTTGGCAAAATCCTTCTATTTGAAGTATTTCCATATCCTTAAAATAAGTTAGCTGCAACATATTCGCAATGAAAGAGTTCCTCCCCTGTCCTCAGCTATCCATAAATTTCCAATCGGTTTTGACTATGTAAAATGACTGATATCGTCTTGAAATTTAAACTTTAAATATCCTTATCCATATTTACAAGTCTATTTGATTTCAAAACATCGAAGCTGGAAAACTGTATGAAGTTACCAAAAAACGTTTTTAAACTGCAAAGATCCGAATGAAAAAACGAAGAGAAAATGAATTTATAAAAGAAAATGAAAGAGAGGAAGCAGAAACATATGGTTAATCAAGAATTGCAATACCTTCACCCTTCGTCACCACTTTTCTTGAAACTGTGTTTTGGGATTTTTCCTTTCGTAACACATCCTTATCTGCGGCCATTCCTGCAAAGTTACTTCCTTAAAACACTAACCTTTCTGTTTTAAGACTTAGGAAATCCAAACACCAACAAGAATGCTATTTTTGATAATTTCTCAACTGACATTACCTTTCTTTAACTGCGCGGATTTAATTCTTCGATTAAATTTCCCCAAATGTTAGTACATTCAACTGACAGAAATCGCGGCACTAAAGACGAACTATTCTTTGCATCTCTTTTATTCCAAAAACAATACACTGAAATTTTGGTTATCTAACTATTCTTATCAATCCACTACAATATTTATTTGTCGCACTGTACGTTGTTTCTGTCGTTTACTCTTTTATATGTTCTTTGAATCATTCCAACCTATAATTACTGCTATTGAAAAAATATTTCTGCTATTTCTAAAGACATTATATCTCATAACTATCATCAATCTTTGTTATCTCTTCCACTATAAAGTTCTTTTCCACTAAAATTCACAACACCCTAAAAGTGCTTATTATGTTCAATAACTTTAATATTTAATTTTAAAACTTTCTAAAAAGTTAACATTTGTTGCAACATTCTCTCGCTTCCTCATTATTCCTCTACACAGTTTCCGTTCCCTTACATAAAACAAATATAAGTAGTCCGACGTGTCATGTCACGTAAAAACCTACGTTTGTTAACCCTTCCTAAAAACACTACATGAAATTTAAAAATTCCCGCACGCTGTAAACTTAAATAACTTCACGAGCTGCAGGAACTTCTCCACGACTTGCAAACTCTCCCCAAAAAATTTCCACATGGATCTGGATTTAATGTTAAAAATAGTTGACATCATAGAACACGGCTCGGCCTGCTTTTATTTTGAAATTTCTCGGTCCTTTCTTTGAGATGTCGAAAGGCGCGTTGAGTTGACAGATTTTTTGATTACTTGTATAACATAATATAAATGTTAAGTTTTTCATGTTACCGAGATATCATCAATTATTTTTAGACATTTGTATATGGAACGTTATGTATTGAGGTTTTAGACGGTACTGCCAGGCCTCATTGGCTCAGGGGCAGAGCGTCTGTCTAGTAAACAGAAGGTCGCTGGTTCGATTCCAGCATGAGGCATGGCATTATCGCAAGGTGCGGTGCGCAAAGTTCCCACGCATTTTTGTAAATATTACGTACGTGAGTTTTATATGTGGAGGATTTTAAATTTCACTTTAGCTTTTGAATTCTTGAATATTTAAATTTTCAAATAAATTTGAAAGTGTTTTTCATTTTTAATAGTGTTTTTTTTCACTTATTCTCATCAGCATTATTTTAAAAAACAAAATTGAATTTAAATAATCTTAAAAGTAAGTGATGGATTTAATGCATGAAAATTACTCATTAATTGATTTAAATTTAAATGCCTTATCCTTGCTACTTTTTATTTAGCCTATATTCATCATTATTTTCTCGTTTTCCACTATACGTTTTTTTGACTTTCTAACATTTTAGATTCTAGAAAAATGCAGTGAAATTTTAATGAATAAAATGTATTTTTTTTTATTTCAGACTACTAAATTAGAATTTATTAATAACTCACATTGATGTATAAACGTCGTTAAAGCAGAAAATAAATGATTCCGACCATTTACAAATGTATCTTTAAGAGATATTGAGTTTAACCGATTGGTTTCCAATCAAGTTAAAAAATTTGATTGACCGTTTTGTTGATAACTCTTCAAATGTCACGACAAGAAAAAAGAAAGCTATCATACTCTGCAAATAAAAGTTTGTCCGCTCATTAGTTATAATAAACCAATACAACTAGTGGAAAGGGCAATCGTGCTGGACGTACGATTATGCGGCTATATTAAGTTATAAGTGAAATGATCCTGGTAATGAGTGGTTTAGAAGAAAAAAAAGAAAAAAGGAATTATACGAATATTGATCATTTAGTCATCTGATGACTGTTCAATTCATACTGTATTTAATGAATATAGGATGTTAGAGGAGAAAAATGGAAATTGTTCCGGATTGATAAGCATTAAATCGTATAGATAGAGAAATAATAGGGTTTTAAAGGGCGTTTAATGCGTTAAATTACGTAAGCTAACCTAAAGTGATTAATCATGAAAGCTAATGAAGTTATTACAAGTTCCAATGAAGTACTTTAATTAACTGTTAATTAAATTATGGCATAATGTATGATATCTATGAGTGATGTAATATATAGCTTTATAAAAAATACGCCTTAATCAAGGCAATGACCCTGATGACCTGTGATGGCATGCATTTTCATTAGTTTTCAAACAATTGAATTATCCGATATTAGTGAATCTCTTTCCGGGATCAACTGATTCATGTTTTCTGAAATAGAAAGGAATACGGTCGATCGGTTTTAGTCCAATGAATAAAACGCCTATACTCATAATGAATACATTACTGAGGAATGTTTTTAAATGATGTGATAATTTACGAAAAGTTAATCGAGAAACTTGTTAATTTATCGGAATACAGATCTCATAATGC